AGTCTTCTATAAAGAAAGATTATATAAAGCAAGTATTATTTTCTTCAAAGACCAAAAAAGAGTATAAAACTCAGGCAAGCCTAGTAGGGAAAAAAAAAAGGACAGAGCCAACTATAAAATATGAACAAGAAAAAGGAATTGACAAGAGGGTAACAGAAGAGGACAAATCGCATTCACTCTGTGACCACCAGGGTGAGCTCTGGAGAGAGCCTGTTTCTGGGAGAGTGGTCCAGGTCCCCCAGCTTGTGACTAATTCCAACATAGCACCTCGCTATGTTGTGTGGCCGGCAGGGAACCCAGCTGGGGCCCTGAGCAAGCCGTCTACTCAGCAGAAGCCTAAAAGCAGCTCCTCCCTCTGGCTGCTCCTGGGTGTGTATAAAGCCTGAGACTGCAGCTGCTTTTTGCTGTTGGCCCAAGGAAACAACCCCGGAGTGGCAATGTGCAAAGCCAGGAGAGCCTCAGGAACAGGAGGCAGGACTCAGAACCAGCCGGCTCCAGAGAGCCTCCCTCGGACCTCCTGCGCTACCTGAGCTGCCCAAAGCATCCTGTGGGCCCTACTTGATACTGTAAACAGAGACAAAGTCTGGAACCTAAAAGCAAAACTTGAAAATAGAAGAGTCAGGAGGACCACAAGTCTGAGGCCAGCCTGGGCAATTTAACAGGATCTTGGCTCAAAATACAATAAAAAGGTCTGGAGATGCAATAAGTGGAAGAATGCTTGTTAGCAGGCATGAGGCCTTGGGTTCAATTCCCAGCACCACCACCTAAAAAACCCAAAACAACAACAACCAAAACCCTTCAGGTGACTCTGGAGTGGACGGGACCTCTTTAGTCAGAGGGAAACTTAGGAGTGACCAAGAAAAACACTGTTGACTACATAAACAGTAAAAACCCCAAATGTCAAAGAGCATCATAAACATAGTCAAAGGCCACCAGAGAGCCTCAAACAATAGAGGCAGCACATGTCACAGAGGCTACCAGATTGAACGTCCACGAGCTTCAACAAATTGATAAAAAGAACACAAAGGACCCAAAGCTATCGGGAAGGCAGCCAAGCCAGCGCTTCTATACAGCCCCGAAAACTTGCAGCCACAGAACGTTCCTTGTCGTCACCAGCAACTCCCCTCTGGCA